ATTTCTGTATACATATTTAAATATTCATGTGCAGGCGCATACACGCACGCATATAATATATGTGCATATAGTATGTACATATTCCTATGCCCTTAAGATGCATGTGTGTGTGTGTGTTTTTCTCTGTCCGTGTGCGTAGTTATCTATAAATTACAGTTGTTGCTATAGCTCATTAAGTGAAGTGTATTTATGCAACTGTTGTAACACCATATGTCATTTTTGAAATAAAGAAATTTCCGAGAAGAGGACCCAAACAGAACTCCTCAGTAAGGACAAGTGCACCACAAAAAAAAGGAGGGGGGGGGGGGGAAAAAGGGGGGGGGGGGGGGGTAAAAGGCACTGACCTCTACCTTAACCTTAAACCCTCTAATCTAAAGCGGAAAAAATATAGACTAAAAGGAAAAAGGATTAAGAACCTTCAAACTATCTTGAATGCCTAAACTTGCCGCCACCTATATAAATAAATAAAAGGAAAAAGATTACTTACGGATCTTTCAGAAAACACTGGAAAAGTTCCTGTTTAATTCAGATAGGGGTTATTGAAAATTAATTAAGGTTTAAAATTATTATTAATCCAGAAAATTGAACTCAATAATTTTATTCTGCATGTGCGTGTCACCATCCATGGATGCACATGAAATGAAAGGAAGGAAAGAAATAAATATACACACAAGGATATACATGTGAATCATATGCCATAACTCATGGATATACAAGAAAATTTTGCATGCTTTAGCATCACAAGTAGTAACTAAGCACTGGGATTCACAGACACCAAAGAAGAAAAAATGCATCATTACCCGTCAAGTTCCACAAGAAGTTGATTTATAAATGCCTCATGATCTTGCTTCTTGGTATGAATAAATTGGCCTCGAACACCAGCAAAAAGATCAAAGTCTTCAACAAATATTATTACCGGTGCCTACAAAAAGTAAGATACTTTACCACAAATGAAAAAGTGTAACTCTGAAAAAGATTTGACATTGGTAGGCTTTAGAAATGGCTTTTCAATACAAGTGAACTTTGTGAATGTGAATGTCTTTTTTTATTATTAACTTTATCAAATCAAATTTCCATTTTTTTAATATGAGTGAATTTTTAAGTAAGGCTACTATTTTCATAATTAATACCATAGATAAGGAGAAAGGTTGCTAGCCTTGCTTTAAGGCAGTAAGCATGCAGTTCAGTGCTGAGGCCCGGAAGGTTCAAAGTTCACTTATCATTCATTCGAACTTACCATTATGTCTATGTTAGCCATGTATAACCCCAATCCTTAAGCAATGTTGCATGAGTTTACATCTAATTGCATTATCCCACTTCAAAGACATTTTTCTTCATGTTAAAATAATTAGAAATCAGAAGAAGAGCTGAAAACATTCAGGAACATTGAAATTTGATTAGAGATTCCACAGAAACAATAAAAAATGTTAAAAGTTAGATTTCATTTGTAGAGTTTCTTAAATCGTCAATAAATATGTTCTCAATGAAAAACTGAAAACTTGTTAAGGATGAGAAAGGAAAGCTCCTAGCCTAACCAAATCCCTGGCTGTTTGAAACAGCTCCCTAACATTGGATGCACTCTGGCCAACCCACAAACCAGCTTCTAGTTGCTGAGCTTTGACCTCAACAACAGGAACTTTGGCTTCTGCAGCAATAGCCAAGGCAAGAGATGTTTTCCCAGTTCCTCTTTCACCAACAATAAGAACTCCCTGCAATCAGTTACGAAACAATTACTAGTCAATAACAGCAGGGACTCCCAGCACTGATAATTCGTACTCAAGGTGTACAATGACACAAATGCAGCATGATAGAGTAAAGAAGTTCCACGTGATGTCCAAGTCAAGGATTAAGGTCATTTATACTGCAATGAACTGCATGTACTATTTTGTACTGCCTCAATGAATAGAGATATATACTTTAATAATAATGTCTGGTAGAAACTGACTTGGTCATTTCAGATTTCATCAAACATACACAAACAATCGTAAGCATAGCTCCAGCTGATAGCTACTTAAGTTGTTTTCTCCATCAGAATGGAGGATTCTATGAAACACAGGGTTCCATGTAATAATTGATAAACAACTGGCTTCGACATATTTCATATAAACCCAGTAACCCCTTAAAAAAGATACCAAACTTCTACTCAAGGAAACAAGGATAAGAGAGGCCTAGCATAAATCCTAAAAGGCTGGTTAGCAAGTAGGAAAATACACCTTATTAGGCATGCAGTTTAACCTCATGCAACCAACAATCGTACTTGAGAATTCACCTAGACCAAGAAATAATGTAAGGAAGGGGAAGTTGAGTTTTCTGAAGGAAACTACATTCAGCTACTGGGAAAAAATAATCCAGAGAGAACCCGACATAACTTATTCCAAAATCATTAGTTAACTATCAGGTGAATCATTTTCTCAATGTCAGTTCCAACTTAGGAATGTGCATTGACATTAAATTTAAGTGGAAACACTAAATTTTTGGCACATGCCATACATGGAACTAGAAGTATAACGTTCTAAATTTGGAGATCAAGCATTTGGAGTAAGGATGTGTTTGAAGGTTTAAAATATTTATTTACCTCATCCCCAGGATAAACACATATATACCACAACAAAAATTTCCAAGGTATTAAAAGCTAATGACAAATACGTGTAGACGATTTGTGGAAAGCCATGCATATTCTATAATGATTGTCACGACGTAAAGTGAATAGTCTCACATTAACTGTCAGCTAAGTAGGTGTCTAGTATATAATAGTGTGCTAAGGTGTCTACTGTCTAGTATATAATAGTGTTTATAAATTCACGAACTATAATTAGCAATTTTTAAAAAGAAACCTTGGTTTAAAGAAGATCTAGGTGATTAATGTATCAGTTCAAGACTATATTCCCAAAGGAACCATGATTCAAAAGGATGCCTGACCTACTCAGAAGCCTTATTAAGTCAAGATATTAGCAAAGTATCAGTTCAAGGCCAACTCTGGTTAAAAGTGTTCTGAAGCTAAGTGGCATGCAATAAAGAATGGCGCTAAAAGCAACCTCCAAAGTTATCATGGACCGCCTCCTGAAACCCATATTGCTCAACCAGCAAGGAAAGTCATTCCAGTAAACTAGAAAGTAACTCAGGGATTGAAACTGATGCATTGGACATGTTCAAGAAAGGTGTGAAATATACAATAGTTTTTAGAAACATTAACCATCGCAAGCATTTTTGAGGGAGGAAGAATCAGAGAAACTTCTGAAGTCCTCAATCGCTATTTTATATTTATGTGTGTGTGCCAATATTTATACAATAAGACATAGCTCAAATACCAAATAGTAACAAAAACGAGCATGATATGCATTTCATATTACGTTTTAAAAGTAAAATACTAAGATAAAATGATAAAACTAGGTCCAATATTTATACAATAAGACATGGCATCAGTACCAAATAGTAACAAAAACAAGCATGATATGCATTTCAAATTACTTTCTAAAAGAAAAATACTAAGATAAAAATGATAAAATTAGGCCATAGCACTTGTATAAAATTATATCAGAAGGAGAGAAAGAGATACTATGTCAAGGATAGAGAAGGGAAATTTTCAAACATCACAAGGTTGTGAGGTTAATAATGTGAAAGTAGTGAGACTAAGGCAATGTTATCCAAACCTAATGTATTGAAGAAATGGAATTCTCATGTTTTCAGAAATAGGAATGAGAAACTGTAAAGAACACTGCTTGCTCCTCAAGGAGGATCTAAAGCCTATTGTGGTACTCCAATTTTACTGTGTAAGCCTACATGCTGGGATGAAACTCCAACCCGTCTTCAAGGTTTTAAATATCGGACATCGGAGAAATATTGGATGGCCAAAATTCATATCGGATTGCGGTTATCGGGAAAATACCAAGGATATGTGGTAAATATCAGAATGTCATAATAGATGTTTGCATATATAGTATAATGCCTAAAATGTAATTGCAACATACTTAATGTAATCTACGCGTACGAAATATAAATAATATAAGTTTAGGGTCACCAATCAACCTTGTAAAACAAATAAAAATATAAATCAACGTTGCAACATTTTGTTTGATGTATTTTAGGTCAAAGTGTCATTTGATATAATCGGAAAACCATGATATCTCACTCGAAAAATTTCCAAACATTGTATATTGTTTTGCGACAAGCCATACAAAAGGATATATCGGCCAACACATTGGCTGACATATAAGCCATATCGGGGATACATCGCCGAGAATAGCCAAAAAGTAGTAAAGGATAATTAGAGATCATATCAGTTGCGGCAAGCCCTGTAAAAGGATATATTGTGCAACACATCGGGCTATGTCGGGGATATTTAAAACAATGCCCACCTTCTTTATTTAGTTTGTTCCTATAATTTCTGCAAGTCATAATAACAGGCATATCAAAGCAAGTGACCAAGTAAGATTTTTATGATCTCAGTAGCATAGATCATTTGCGTAAGTAACAAGCACATTCATGCTCCATGGAGAATTTATACAAAACAATTAGCAGTATACTTGCGACTTGTAAGCCTACATGTTTCCCTTTTGTTGTTCAATTTAGCATAATGACTTTCTATATTTCTGTTAAATCATAACTTCAGTGTTTAGTACAAGTTAAATAGAAGAATGTATCCATTTCAATTTATAAAATTATAACAATTTATGTTCTATAAAATTCACAAAAACAAGAAATAAATGACAGCATGGAGACTAAGTACTAAAACAATTTGATTACCATACCCGAGGTGCACGAGCTCCTTTTTCCTTAAAAGCAGTAGGATTTTGTAAGCATGTAACAATGTCATTGATTTCTTCTCTCATAGAATCAACGCTAGCAAAATCATTCAATCGTATAGGTGGATTCTTCACCCTCTGCGTAAAACAATTAATAGCATTGTAAATATCATTCAGAGATTATCCTTCAAAGCAGTAAACAAGAAATCCAAATCAAGCCAATTCTTAAACACACCTTCATCTGATCGAAAGCGGACCTTATTGGATCGAAGCCTTCCTTTTTCCTTCGAATCCTTCTATTTATCTTAAACTGAAAATATGCTTTCTGTTGATACATAAGGGGAAGATCAGTTCTTAAAAACCACTGACATCCAACGAAAAAGAAAAGGAAAAAGGAAAACCTTCCAGTCAAGCAGATAAAGAACTTACAACACAAAGAAGTTAAAATAATGTCTGATGTCCAAGTTTTGAAATAACATAGTTCATGTCTGTGCAATCTTTAAATTCATGAAACTGATTTGTGAGAAAATGCTTATTATCAAAGAAATCTAAATGTTTTCGTCAAAGTGAGTCAAAAGTGATTGTGCTTGCATTATTAAAACTATACCCTTTTCATGCTGCTACACTTTTCTCCTTCAGCCTGTCCCATATTCTTTCTTACACTAGATCCGGAAATTAAAACTCAACATCAAGTACATATATTGAAATATTCACTAAGGGGAGAAATATTAATAAAGAAAGAAATGAAGACACTGACTCTCTTCCAATAACATGATTGTCCTACAACTTGTGATGACCGCTCAATCTACACCATGTATAACCTAATCGACCAAGTACATATTTTGAAATATTCACTAAGAGGAGAAATATTAATAAACAAAGAAATGAAGAAACTGACTCCCCTCCAATAACATGATTGTCCTACAACTTGAATTCATCAATGAAGATGACCGCCCAATCTACATCACTTATAGTATATCCTAATCCATAACAAAGATAAATGTTTTGCAGTGCTCAAAACAATATGAGACATTTCAACTAGGTTTCAATACTTGTTCAGTTGTTTGAGATTAAAAAAAAAAAGAATACTGTGATAATCAAGAAACTTTCACAAAGCATTCATACCATACATCCTAGGTCTCTTCAACAATCATTAACAGGTCAATTTCACTGAATGCAACAAAAAACCAAAAATAATAGATAAATAAATATTGCTATGCAATAAACTAGTGATGTGAGTGTTTTATCAATTCGTGATGGACAAGGTCCTTTTTCGAAGTAAGAGGCAGTATATACATCATATGAAACCAACTTGCATTTGCATGACAATTAACAGACTCTCAGCAAGCAATCACCAGAGTTGGTATTAAGCAGTCAACTATTTTCCAAAACTGTCAACTTAAATTTACATCGACCCAGGATTAATAGTTTAAACTTTACTCATCAAAAGGATAAGAGGAGGAATCAATATATCCAAACTTATACAGATCAATGAATCCTTGTGTACATAAAAAACATATTTTAATTTAATGTGTACATAAGCATGCATCAACCATAACTACTTGTTACATCTGTATACACAAGTAAATCACATGCCTGCATGAAGGCAAGAAAAATGCATTTTGTAACTTACACATGGATAAGTGTTAGTAAAGACCGGTTAATTGGGCCCACAATAACCACTACCTTCAGATCAAACTCCAACCACATGTGCGCACACACATCCCTCCAAAAAAAAGTAATTAAGTAATAAGATATGGCAAAGGTGTGGTTGGGAGAATGTAAAAGGGTCTAAAGAGAGGAAAATAGAAACAGGGAAAAAACACACAAACACAAGGGAAAACAAGCTCGCTAACAAACACCACAGCAAGCATGCAACCAAGAAGCATCCATGCAGGCAAGCTTCAATGGAGACAATGACTACACTAAATTGAGAAGCTAGCTCTAGTGTTTAGTTGGATATGATAAATGTGCAATTATTAACTGTAGCATGGTTGCTCATGTAACAGGGTACCCATGCAATGATACAATTGAAGTGAAATGTCGTAGATTGGTGGATGACAACTATGCTTTCTGTTCACAGTGTTGGCCAATTAGAAAACATAACCATGAAATTAGGGGCAGAAACGAATCGAATTTGATCAACTACCTTTAAATTTGAATTTGAATTCGGATTACTACAGCAAATTCGAATTCGAATTCGTGTCGAATGAGTAGAATGTGTTCAAATTTGATTCGAAATATTAACTAGCTACTTGGTAAATATTCACGAATATTTGCAAGCAAACTTGGTTAAGGCATTTGCTTCTTTAATCTGAGGTCATGTGTTCGAATCCTATGTTGGTATATTACTTGTTTTATTTTCTTTTACATGTTGCATAACTATTTAATGGTTATTATGATATCTTACTACTAAAATTATTAAATTCATCTCTCTATAAATTATTAATTTATATATTTAACAATAGTAATGTTAACATAAAGATTAGTATAATGCAATAATATAGAAGCAGAAAACATCTCATCATAGATTTTTAGATCTACATGAATTCATTTTCTATCAAACTTTTTTAGCAACTTTCGGACATAATCTAAGCTAAAATTAGCATAAGAGTTTATTTCTCCTAGATATTTTTTCATGATATATGTCGATATGGTAAATATATCAAGTGCAACTTTAAAGGATAAATATTCTATGATAAACTAAACTTAGAGAAATAAAATGTAAAACATAAACGAATATTTAATAATCCACCGAATCGAATATATCTTTGGTCAAATTCTATTCGTTTATGAGCCGAATACTAAAAATATTCCTTTACAATTAAATAAACCATCGAGTCGAATATGACCGAATATCTGGATGAATAATAATCGAATGGTTTATTAATTATTTGGTCCATTTCAGTTTTCAACCCCTACACGAATCAAGTACTTAAACTGATGATACTGAGATGGATAAGTGCTGACTTGCTAAAAGATAGAACAAGAATGGCGTCAATTACAAGCTAGAGCTAAGCTTCAATAGGAAAAAACAATGGAGAACCAGTTAAAAGCTTAGCACTTTCTACAAATTATAAGAATGATTTGCTACAGGTGATTAAAAACAATAATAATGATTTTTCCTCACTAGGAAGAGGTAAAGAGGGTAAGAGGGTGAAGAAGCAACATGACATTTTAAAAAAGCAGTTAGAAAAGGAACTATAATCAAGACAGCATATCTAATTGCACAAGTTCATTAATTCCACATGCACAGTTTTATATATAACAAAAAAGGAAGTGCATCATAGACCAGGACTTGGATTAATTTTCTGTGAGATAACAAGCGCAATTAAGGAAAGTCGGTGAAGAGAAAAAAACATACCACCCTTTGTAACTTCCTCAGGTTCGGATCTCTGCGGAAAGGCCCATAACCAAGGAGCCTAGGTATTTTCCTCTTCAAATAGCGGAGCACATTGAATAAAACAAAACCATATATAGCACTTCGTATGAGAAACCATAAATACCACTGGATATTGTCCCTCTTCCTAGCTTTGTAATTTATTTCTGCCTCAGATTGCCATTTCAAGTACCATGTGGACCCTACAGCTTGATATGCTTCCTCAGGCCATGCCATTCCTAAGCTCATTCTCACCTGAAAGAAAGTAAATGAACAGACAAAAATACATAAACCAAGTTTTTATACTACTAAGAGATGGAATTATTCCTATAAGGACTAAAAGATTTGGAAGTTTCATTCTTCCTACCTGCTTCGGAATGATCAGCTCCAGAAGTGGAAAAACAATTACAACCATTATATCATCAGTGATATTTTTTATCTTGGAAAAGGCCCGTTGTCTCACATAAGAAAAAATTGATGAGTTCCATAATCCAAATAAGCACTCACGAGACAATTGTGCCATTAACAGAAACTGTTGCCGAATATCTAAATCAGATAATGGGATCCACATTAACTGAACTATAGTTGGAATACCAGATGCTAGCATTCTCATATAAAGTCCATCAAAGCCACCAAAGTCTTCAAAAAGAAGATCAAATTCCTGCATTAAGAAAACTACATGAATGCTAAAAAGATACACAGGGAGTAATATAATAAGATTTGAAACCAATCATCAGGAAAACATATATAACCTTTATGTCGACATAATACTCCTTATCGTCACCTTTAAGTGCAACATACATGACAGCCCAGTCATGCCTAATACGAGCGCTTTCTATTAGTTTCTTGGAAACAGCATAAGGAACAGCTACCGGATCCATTTCCCATCGATTTCTGTCATCATTGTACCATGTTTTAGTCATCACTCTCTCCCGATCCAGAAGGATACGCTCCTGCAGCAACCACAAAACAAAATAAATGATACAGCAATGTATTAAAGACTACACAGTTTTTCTAAAATACAGCATTGCAGGATTTCATGAGGATTCAAGAAATTGTGTAAAGAAAAACATTACAAGACAGACTTGCAAAAGGCCCAATAACATAAATAAAGGTAGCTAAATGATGCAGGATAAAACAACTTGATATATAACCTAACCCACAAACCCTCTCCCCCTGCAAACCGAACTTCACAATAATTCCCTTCGAAGATTTAATTTTTATCTTTCTTGTTTCATACTAGTAGAGACCTGGTGCTTTATTGTTCTTTTTGCTCCCTACTGATTAGGCATTTCCATACTCCTGAAGCTAACATTTCTACCAAATGGAGGTTTAGCAATGAAAAAGCAAAATAAAGATAAGTCCCATCTTGGAATTTAGAAGGGAAAGAAGATTAGAAAATTTCTCCAATGACTAGAGTGGATTCTCAACCAGCCATGAGTACATAAAATCCAAGTTAGGCTTCCTGGAAAACCTAGTATACCACTGTGATAATGAAATGAATTCTGAACCAATGTCATGATAGGATATTGATCCCTTCAATTCTTTGATATTTTTTTAGATGAAGGTATACTGAATTTAAGTTTAACTTGCTTATTCTAGATCGAACTTGAAACAGAAAATGGCATTAGAGCTTTTAATCTCTAAAGCTTCCAATCATATCCCACAGGATCAGAATCCAGATTGATTTTTGCCTTCAATTTTCCATAAAGTTTAGGGGAAAACTAACTAGTCAATAGTTAATATATAAGATCTTTCCGTTCTAATACTCCATCCGAGAGTAATCAGTATTTATCAAATCTCTTCCTATCTAACGGAACGCTATTGGATCAAATGACAAAGACATTGTTTTAATCAGTATTTATCAAATCTCTTCCTATCTAACGGAACGCTATTGGATCAAATGACAAAGACATTGTTTAGAAAGACATGGCTTTTCCCGGATGAAATGAAACATTTGATTCATGTAACAGGAGAAAGATTTCTCATTCCTTAGCCATAAAGACAAGTGCCCATGAAAAAGGGATTAAGTGGAACAGAATTGGCCAGGTCGTAGGTCGTGGAAAAACTTGTTTATTCCATATTTTGAACCTTAGCTCCATGGAACAATATACTACTGCTGACGCATGGAAGAATTGAAATCTTAGATCAAAACACTATGTATGGATGATATGAACCGCCTAAACAAGAATTTTTGAACAGTGAACAATCAGAGCCTATTACTCACTACATCAAACAATTTCCATTAATGGAACCATGGAAATCCATCGGAAAATCAAAAATATGCATGTCCGATGAATTGGTTGTTGCTATCTGCTCCAATAACGAATCATTGGTTTAAAATTATAGTCATATCCTACTATTTTCTGATAAGTTAGTTCCAAAAATAAACTAGCTTAAGGCTCTTTAATGTGTGTTTTCATAGGTTTAAGCTAATTTTATTTACTGTAAATTTTAATTACTTATGTTTTTAGTATAGTTTAATATTTACTGTTCCTTATATTTTAATTTTGAAAATTAAAATACATTATTTGAGTCGCTGATTTAATGGCTTTCCTTGACTTCATGTTTGCTTTCAGAGCACATCCTGAAGGTTAAATCTCGCAGGTCAGTGCTAAAGTTGTCTTCCCTCATCAAAGTATAAATCATACAAAAACAGAACAAAAAAGGACAATGTGGAAATCTGCAGAAACAAAGAATGCGGGCTAAAGGAGATCACTGACAGCCTAGGAACAGGAGAGATTCATTCATGATGTTTCACTTTTAATAAATATAATCTGAAGGAATACTCTCACTACGTGGGCTTGTAACAGGTTAGAATTTGGTTATGGAAAAGATGACATGTGAAAGACTGTTTTTGATGCATACGCATGTAAGAACGAACGCTCCTGAGTTGCAATTATGCTCAACATATAACAGAAGGCTACCTGTCTACGAGTCATATAGTCTCTCCCATAGTCTTTATTCTCGAGCAGATCCCTTTTCAAGTTGGCTTTAGCTTCTTCACGCCACTTTTTCCATCCATGAAATAAATGGAGACTGGCAGCTTTGGGAACAGCGACTTCTTTCTGTCCAAACATCCACTTTAACTCCACATCTGGAAAGCCCTTCAGAACTTCTTCTGCTGGTGTGTTAACAAGAAAGTGTTTTTCATCTCCAAACTTCTTTAACTGTCTTTTTATGTCTGCTTCAAAACTTATTTGCATTTTTTCCGACTCTTTAAGCACTTGCCTTATATTTTCAGTGAAAGTTTGAGTACTGTTATCTGAAAATATTTCAGGATCTTCGGCTTCGAGAACTTTTGGTAGTAACGTCTGCTCCCAATATTCTTTCTGGGCTGTTTCTAGTTCTTTCTGAATATCATATCTAGAGAGTTTAGAGGAGCTTGTTCGCCAACTGCAAAACATAAAAAAGCAAGACCAACAATAAACGCAAAATTTAACAAATAAAACATGAAACTTCCTCAAGGCATATGCCAAACAGAAAGGGATTATGGTATCCAGAACTATGATTGAGCAGGAAAACATCATCACATAACAGAAACTCATTAAGGGTGGCTTGGCATTTCGATGCCAGCTAAACAAGCTTCTGGAGCTCGTTCAGATCTGCTCTTATAACCAGAAGAAACCATCAAATGTTTCTTTTCAGCTATCAATGAATAAACCAACCTAAATATGTAACCCTCACTGGGATAAAGCTTTCAGTTCCTTCTACGAAACTTTCTATATTCTTATTAACACTGGGAATCAGGGCAATCCCATTAAGTTGACTTCAAATTTTGGAAAGTTATTCGTAACTTCAAGTTAAGCACTAGTGCTACCTAACTTCTTTGTGATACCTCCACCTCATCTTACTTTCTTCCTTCAGTTTCAATAAAACAAATGCTGATGTGCTTTGGCGTTAAACCAAAATATCAAGATCTTCAGCAGCCCAACTTTTTGCGGTAAAGCATTGGTTTTCTATTACGCATCAAATCTTTCCTAGCGCTCCCTTACAAAAATACATTCCATACTCATTCTTCATTGTACACCTGATATGTAGGGCGCAATACTTCTAAAAAGGGAACAAGTGCTGAGCTATTTTTGTAAATAACTATATATTAGGAAAGAGGGGGTTGGCACGTCACGCTAACCCCATAGGTGGAGTGTCGTTGATGTGGCATTAATCCAATGGTTCACTTAAGATACATCATGTAATTGTGCAACAAACCCCTTGATTAGGGAGAGTTTTTTTCATTTGCAAAATGAAACGAATACCCTAAAATCTCTCTCCAAAATCAGTACCCACATTTCCTTCCCCTTTGATCAAACACCTGACTCTTTGTTTTCTTCTTTTTTCTCTACTTGTTCCCTCTCTTCAGAAAGAAATACATCTTCTTTCTCAACCCATGCTCTTCCTCAATACATGTTTAAAAAAAAATTCCAGGACTTGGTGATGACTGTTGTTGCTTGCATCCTTTATGGTCGTCATCAAAAACATCCAATTTGTATATGACAGTGTGCTATGAAACTGTGACCCAGATATTTCCAAAGAGTTGTGTTGGAGCAGTGTAACTTGTATAGCTGCAACAGCTATTGTTGGAGATATGGTGCAGCTCAAACAACATACTTAAGTACTACCTTATTGCATGTTCTAATAATTTGAAAATTATTTGAAATGATGAAACTTAGATAACCCTTTTTTATTGATCAGAATGTGAACTACACTTATGCATCTACATTTCTTAGAAATGAAATTGTATAGCAAGGCACAAGGTTTTAAATATCGGATATCAGGAAAATATCGGATGGCCAAAATTCATATCGGATTGCGGATATCGGGGAAATATCGGGGATATGTGGTAAATATCGGAATGCCATAATGAATGTTTGCATACATAGTATAATGCATTACAATGTAATCTCAACATATGTAATGAAATTTAAGCATACAAAATATGAATAATATATGTTTAGGATCACTAATCAACCTTCTAAAATACACAAAAGTGCAAAGCAACGTTGCAACATTCGATCTGCTTTTAGGGCAAAATGTCATTTGATATAATGGGGAAATCTTGATATCTCGCCTAAAAATTCCAAACACGATATATCATTTTGCAACAAGCTATATAAAAAGATATATTGGTCCACATATCGGCTAAAATATCGGCCATATCGGGGATTTATCACTCAAAATAGCCAAAAACGGTAAAGGATATTTAAAGACCATATCGGTTGCGGCAAGCCCTGTAAAAGGATATATCGGGGGATATATCGGGCCATGTCGGAGATATTTAAAACAATGGCAAGGCATCAACATAATATAGGTTATTTTCATTTTAGTTTAGCTAAAAACACTCAAGCATATTTGAAATGATGAAACTTAGATAACCCTTTGTTATTGTTATTGATTAGAAATGTGAACTACACTTACACATGTACATGTCTTAGAAATGAAATTGTATAGCAAGGCATCAACATAATATAGTTATTTTCATTTTAATTAAGCTAAAAATGCTCAAACAACTCTGTTTCATATTTTAGTTTGTGATGTTTGAACTAGAGTTATCTTGATGCTTTATATTGATTACTGCTACTTAGCATGGGTGACCATGTCACTATGATGGTTTGCCAATGCATGAGCAACATCTTCCACTATTAATACGTAGGAAGCTATTGTTTTTAGTGCAAATCAATCCAACAAAACTCAGTTAAATTGAGTGAAGAAAAGGTTTTAATTTTTTGAGTGCAAATACAACAAACAAAACACAGAAAATCAATCAAACAAGGACGTGTTATCTAGGGTACTTCAAGCGCAAGGAGATGGGGGCGAATAAGATTTGATTTTTTGTTTTTTAGTTTGTTTAATTTGGATTGATTGCAATAGGAAGAGGATGAAGATTTTTTTTTATTTTATGGAAGAATAACTATTTGAGGAGAGAAGAAGATGAATGTGCTGCATCTTTTGAGAAAGGCAAGAAAAAAATGAATGTGCTACATTCTATTGGGAGAGGGGAAAAACATGCATATAAATTACGAGCGAAGACTTCAGAGAATTTCATTTTCAAAACGAGATTGTTCCTCTAATAAAGGGGCAAGCTGAATAATTTCATGAGATATCTTGAGTGAACCATTGAATTAATGTCCCATCAACAACACTATACCTAAGATGTCGGTGCAACACCAACCCATTTTACCTAATACATATACGTGTGTATGTATATATGTCCACACACACGCGTATATATAGGAAGAAACAACAAGGAATAAAAGTACAAACATGGTTGAGAACTAACCACTCTAACAGAGCTTTTTCTTCGTCTCACGAAAAGTATAATGGTAACCATGAGGTAGATTCTCCAATATCCAAATTATATCTATAGTTTTCCAACTCATGCCTAAAACCTGTTATACTGCTTCGAGAAAAACAAATACTACCCTCACAACTTCGTAATGTTACTGTTTTCCATTTGTTTTATTGAAGGTAAAGGAATTTTTCAAGCTCTAAACACGAACCACTAAAAGGAATGCAACACTTAAGTCTTAGCTTTTCTTAAATTATTCACATTCCATAACCATCAGTATGCAGAATAAATCTTTTGACTATAGTAAAACTGTAGCTAAGCACAATGTTGCTATCAAGTCTAAGGTTTTTGTCAATAGTAGACCACTCATCTTTATTTTTTTTTCCTCTCTTCCTCTCACTGGACATACTTAATGTCCTCACCTGCCTCCCAAAATATAAGCACTAAGAAGTCATGCAACTTTCACCCAAACAAAAAATAGACCAAGATCTCTATTGAAAAATCTCTCTTTCAATTACTTAGAGGAGTCATCATGCTAATCGAGTTTTCCTTTCGCCTCTACCTTAGTTGCATCAATAAAATCAGGGGTGTATATACGTGGTGCCTAGGGTAGGCAGCTGCACCTCTGAAGTTTTAGTTTTTACACTTTACCCCCTTGAAAATTTATACTTTGCCCCCCTCAAATTCAGACAAATTGCACCTCTAAATCTCACCCGATAGACATTGACCCATTAAATCAAGTTATTTGAAAATTATAGGCCCAAGCCCAAAGCCCCAAACACAAAAAAAGAGCCCCAAAACTTAAACCCATGGTCCATTATGTGAAAACATTAGCTCTTTTGGCCTTTGATCCTAATTTCCAGAAATGCTCAAAGAGCAAACCCCAGTTCGAACCTTTGAGAGTCATCGTTGCTTCTTTAGCTCCATCTTCTGTCTCAATCACTGCCACTTCTCCCGTCTACATGTTGCTGCCTTGATCGCCTCCAATGTCCAACCTCTTACTCCTTTTCTTCTCCTTCAGTCCTTTGGTCGAGGGCACCATATCAAATTCACAAGTGACTGGTGAGTGATTCAGTGAATTTTTTTCTTTTTTTTTTTTGGTTTGCCTAAAGATTTGATGAGTGAATAATGAAGCTTTGATAAATTATGATGTACTCTAAATTATGAATTGATATGCCTAAAATACTTGTCCCTTAGTCTCGGTGATTCTGTGAATTAGACAAATGAATTAGACAAAGTGAATTAGACAAATGAATTAGACAAAGTGAATTAGACAAGTGAATTAGATACACTGTTATAAATAGCGGTAAATAGCCCCGCAATAGCGGCACTGATAGCGTTAGCGGTCCATTCCCGTGACGCTATCGCCCGCTACGTTATCATGCAATAGCGGTGACATATTGCGAAATATGTTTGTTCGCAAAAGCCGCCAATAGTGTGTCATAACGGTAAATAGTGAGCGATTGCATTCGAAATTTGCTTTTTGACTATTATTTAAAAACGGTTTGACGCTTATTTTTTAAAAATTAAACTCAACCCTTGACCATTGCATTTCACTGTCTCCTGTGATTTTCAGCATACTCTCGTCATCTCTCATAGCTTCTGGCACCTACCTTGATACTTTCTCTCACCTCCTTCACCGTGAGCTTCTCTTAGGACAGTCCTGTCACCGCTAAGCTCTTCTTCTCAAAGACGATGATTTTTTGACTCCTCCAGTCATCTTCGGTATTACGTGATGGTTATATGTCTATTTCATGTTTAAGATATCTTTAAATCATCCAATATGTACTTTTAGATTTCTTAGATTTTTTCTTTAATTTTTCTTTTTTTAGTATTTATACATATCTAAATTAGATCGCTATTGACTTTGTGTTTTTTACCGTTATTTTGCCGCAATAGCCTGAAATAGCCTTAGCAATGCCTCACTGCTACGCGTAAATAGAATTATACTTTGATCTTGATTATCTTGTAAAAAAATTTAGTTATGGATAAATTACTTAAAAGAAAGTCCCCAATGGAGCAAGAGCAACCATGAACTACTCCAATTTCAAACAATCTTGAGAATATACAACATAGTCCAAAACGAATCAACGCAGTGAACTTGAAAAAT